TTTCATACATAATGATTCTTTCCAAAGCAATGTCCAAATCTTCTGGAATGCCCATTGTTGTTTGCGCTGGGTGTCTAGCACTTGCCGCCTTTTGGATGAAAGCTTCAGGTGACCAAGGCAAGCCAAAAGCGGCACGAAAAGGAAATCTCTCCAACCCCTTGCGCCCCCAAACTTCTGAATCCTTTTCTCTCTCTCTCTCTCCTGAAGTGGATTCAAAGGCACTGTAAAAGCGCAGGAATCGTGAATTTGCAGGAATGACAAGAGTGCTCAACTCAGGGGAGTGCAAACTCAAAGCATGTGAAGTTTTGCTCAAAGCAGAAGAAGGGACTTCGGAAGGTTCGGAAACAAAGACTGTCACAACGGCATCAAAGTCGGGCACCAAAGGAGGGATGCATTTGCGAAATGGCTCCTGTTGTGCATGCAGCGGATGTGTTCCTATGTTTTTTGAGGTTTCCGGCAGCAACTTGAGGCCCAATCGATGGGCTTCTGAACCAGAGCGATGCACATTTTATATACGAGGATATTATTCTAAGCTTGTAGCCCATACTCGACGCCCTTCGGCGTTGTGGCAACTCTCCACGGTGCGTGCTGATGCTTCCTGTCACATGCAATGTTCAACTGCGAAATCGTTGCAACATTTGCCACAATCCTTGTCCACTTATCACCTGAACCACCCAACATGATTTGAACATCTGAGCAGTAAAGTTCAACCATAAGGAGAGGAAATATAATGTGCTCCAAAAATATGAATTCTTCCGGTTCTCTGTCACCAAGATGCCCAGGTTTGAAGCCTTGATGAATGAACATGCAAATTCAAAGAGCTTGTTAGCGAGACGTACCCTGTGCAACTCACGCCCCTCCAGCATCTGGGCAGTCACAGATGCGGGCCCGCAGACTGGAGCCAGGTGGATCCAAAGCAGCATCCCTGAGCTCAACCAAGCATCAATCAATGAACAATCAACTTCATGTGTCAAGTCCAGTTGGATGACACTCGCACGCGCTCCTGCTTTCTGCACCTTGTCAACGGCCAGACTGTTGTTCAAACCGTACTGTTTGGCCACTGAACAAAGCATTGCCGAACCAACGAAAACTTCCAGCATCCAAGTTTGGCCTACGTGAGTGCCGGGACCAGTCATGTGGCCTGAAACATTGTCTGCCTCATTTGTTTGCATGCTCATGCAAAGCATGAGCTTGCTGGCACTTGGGCTCGGCACAGACGTGGTATCCACGCTTGCATCTGTCAGCCGGCTTCACATTCTTCTCGCTGCAGCCCTATGGGCTCTCCTTGACTTGTACGATGCCACTTTCCGAGAAGATCTTTTGGCATAGGTGGTGTTGGCCCTTCTTGCCTTTGCCCTTGCCTTTATGACCGTTGTCATGGTGCTGTTGTTGATAAGGATGATGAGGCTTCTTCCACCAGCTCTCTGTTGTGGGTGTTGGCTGCTTTGCCATTGGGGTTAGGTACAACACAATGTATGGGCCGTATGGGTCACTCCTCAACGCCAACAATGCACGACCCAAGGGAGACTGTCCAGTCTCGTCTTGTCGAATGTTGTGCACAGTACTGCCTAGTCTGAGTTTCGACCATGCCGCAAGATCACACTGCAACTGTGACAGATTTGGTCAACTGTACCCTGCGGGTGGATCTCGGTGCAATGCATCAAACAAGAATGTCGACCATTCACACTATGGCTCATAAGTTTTGCAAACTGCAGAGCTATCCCACGTCTCACAAGCGCATTGTGTAGTTTTATCTCGCTGTCAGTTGCACTGCTTGGGCCGTCCTGTGGCTTCAAGACTAGGGCATCTTTTTCCAAGCTGAGCTCTCTGGTTTGTTTGGTTCCTTGTACCTCCAGTGTCCTGCTCACGCATGCCGCGGGTTCCAGGTAAACAATGACGTTTTTGTCGTACATGGAACATGCCCGATCCAGAAGGTGATGAGATGGATCCAGTTCCCCAAAGCTGCCTTGATTGCGTTCATCCTGGCAGCTCTCTCTGCAAATGCAATCTTACGTCTTACGTGGAGCATGTCTAAAACAGCGTAGGCGCTCGTCCCAGAGCCGTTTGCAAAAACTGAGCCAAGGGTTGGTTTGGTTGGCCAACCGCAAAGGCCAACCTTGACAAAGTATCTGCTCCACTCGCCTTGATTGCATCTATTGATGCTTGATTCAACCCACTTTCCAAAAGCCGTGCACTAAAGTGGGCAGCACTGTCGACGACCGATTCCTGAGAAGAATTGGTGAACAAATGAAATTCTTAGGTTCAAGAACTCTCAATCAGGCACTTTGGCAAAGTGGAAACGGGAGAAAACAACATGCTGAAAATGCAGCTTCCTCTTCTTGTTTCTCACATATGCTCCTGTGAGCCTAGACCGGTACGGTCATTCGCAACGATGGACACTCCGTCCCTTGCAGCTCTCTGCACAATTTCAGGCCACCGCAAAGAATCATGATCTCACTCCTGTTTATTAATGGAACTCCGCCAACACAGCTCTTTCGTTTTCCTCATGCTGGTCTCTCCATCATTTTACAATCTCATTTGGGATTTTATTTCCACAAGTTTCTCGAGAGCAGCGTATTTTGATTCACGCTCAGTCTGAAAGAGAACCAAACAGGCAAACGGAAAGGACAGAGATTAGACAAGTACAAAGCACGACACAAACAGTTTCACTCACGAGCTCTCTTCGCTGCTCTGGCTCTGTCAATCGCTGCATCCAGGGCCGCCTCAGCATCATCATGATTTCTGATACGGCCCTGCTCCTTGGGAAACCAGCGCAGGCATTTTGGATATTTGAATCGGATCACACGTCCAAACTATCAGCTTCATCTTACACTTCGTTGATGTTGAGTCTTCAGAAGCAAAGTGTATTCACTGACTCTTGACATGATTGAAAAGACTCACACCAGGTGGGACATGTTCTTGAAAATAATGGCTGAGGTCCCACGCGCCCTTCGGAGATAGCATCGCTTTCGGAAGAGCTAGACTCACTGTCGATTCCGGACGAGCTATAGATTTCGATCAGTCCGCAATTCACCAATGAAGGATCCAATAAGTTTAGTTCACCAACTGAGTTGATGACCGCCTCTTCATTCTCGATCTCTTCTTTTGCAGAGGTCCTGTCTTCCTGCTGCACGCATTCGATAGCATCAACCAGGTCCTGATTCACAACCTGAGTCTGAACAGGCAGGGCAGGTGTCCTCACCGCTGGCGTCACTCCGGCAAGGGGTCCTTGGTCGCCGATCTCCTCAAGACCCATGTCAATCCTCACAAGTTGCAACTTTCTAATTGGCCTGACTTGCAGTTGCCTGGAGTATACAACTTCGGATCCACTGAAACTGCACTGCGATGATGGCCTACGACACTTCGAAACTCTTTGTCCAAGCCTGCCCTAGCACACCAAGCAAGAAGTGTTGCTTTCAATGAATGCGACGGTATGAATTGGCATCCCGAGTTCCTTTCAAAAGACCTTTCAACCAAATTGAAGCTTCAGGCGTTGTCAGTGGCCGAGGACACCCCTAGGGGCAGACAGAAGGGGGACCAGCGGGACTCGGGACCTTGTGGATGTCCGGTCCTGCATCCATCTAAATCTAAAGGTCCAAAAATACCTGCAGCCAGTTGTCGTTAGTCACTCCTTCCCAACCACGAAGTACTGTTCGTGTTTTTCAACAACACTCGAAGTCTTGTGTTCAGCGGTATACAGCACCTGTTTCTCCTCAATTCGATCTCCACGTGATGGATGAACCTGACATCGCTCCACCTAGCTCTGGCATAGATGCAGATGAGCATGCAACCTGCACTAATCCTGTCATTACATGCTTGAGCCGCTCAATAGAACTGAGTGCAACCGTTGTAAATGCTCTAACTCCAGTGGTGGAGCTTGCTGGGCAGGTCCTTTCTCTCTTTGTTCAATCGCAGCGAAGCCTTGAAGTCTCCTTGATTCAAGCACCTCTGAAGCTCCACGCAAATCTACAGTGAACTTTGCAAACCTGGCAGTTTCAAGGAAAGTCGCAGGTGCAGTGTATCCTCTGGCTTTTAGTGCCAAAAGCTGCTCTAAGCATTTCGTTTGCAGCGTCCCCACTTGGGTCAGATCTCAAGTCCTCACACACCTGACTTCCAATTGCTGATGCCTTCCAGTTTACATTCGCTTGTTCTCCATGTAGTCTAAATCAGCAATGTCACTCACAGCATGCAAATACAGCATCACAACACTCTTCGATCTGTCCACTGACAGTGTCGAAAACAGCTTTTGAGTCCTGCGTCAACTGCGTCAACTCTCGCTCAATTGCCACTCTGTGCGCCCGAGGCAGTCTAAGTGCAGAACCTTCATTGAAAATCCCTTGCATCATATTCTGTTCCCAGGGCAAACGAAGAGCAGGATCAAGTGGTTTGCACTGTTCAAAAGAATGTGTCACTCCAACGTTCCAATCAATTTTGTAAACCACCAAATCGTTTGTTCCAGTTTCGGAAGTCTGTATTGGGATCTCAGCAGGGAACGTTCCTCTTCCAAATTTTCCACTATCACTACCGATCATAGAGCTCCAATCCTGATGCAGAAAAGACAGGCCCTGACAGGTGGGAATCTCTCATATCTACCCCCTTTGCATTTGAAAGGAGATGTGACCATTTTGGTCGATTCAAGTCCACCTCGCCCTCCCTTGATGTCAAAGGTCACAAGTTCAAAGTTCAATTTTCAAGACGCCCAGAAAAACCTTAATTTTTTCTTGAAACACCTAGTGACAACTTCGTCACTTTCAGTGAAGCTAGTCGTGCATTTCCCTACCACAATGTGTGCATGTCAATGGGGTGGGCAAGTTTTTTGTTGAGTTGATAGATTGTTGGTAGTTATTTACAAGGTCGGAGGTCCAAAGTCAAGCATTTTTTGTATTGTAACTTCTTGTATTGAACATTTGTCGTGTAGCTACGTCAAGAACCAAATGGAGCAATCGCATTCTGTGTCGATTGCAATGAGTCCAAATACAGTTATGGTTTGAACTTGATTTTGGTGGCCGTTGTGCACGCCTCAAAGTTTGCCTCGCCTGTCGGCAATCTTCCAACTTTGGTCTGATCAGTACGGTGAACATACGGAAACTTGGCAGCACATAGGTGAGAAACGCTTTCGCGTGCGAGTTGCAGGATGGACACTTTGAGACAATAGTTGGGCGCATTTTTAAACCAAGGTTCTACATTATTTCGTCCCATTCGGGAAAAGTTCAGCATTACGTTCTTCTCACCAGAAGCTTTGAACTTCATTCAATCCATACCGTCATGGCCACAAACTGGCTCTTTCTTGCTCGGGCTGGAGTGGCTACTACGTGGATAGAGCTAGCCTTTGTGATTTCCTTTGCGTTGGGTTGCTTGACCAAAAAACACATTCTTAAAGATCTTAAAACTGTACACTAAGTGTGCAATATGTTTCAAAGCGCTTTTTCAGTTCAGATTCAAAAGATCAGTCTCGAGGCTTTTTGATTCTTAGAAACGGCCTTTGTGGTTTTTTCGGACGTGGTCATTTGAAGCGGAGATATGGCATGGCGAAGCACATCGCCCAGTTCAACATGAAATTGAAAAACATCATTGAAACAGAGGCACGATTGCTTCTGGTCTTTGTTTCTTTTCTTTTTCCTTCTTTGGTTTCTTTTTGGTTTTCTTGAGATACCCTTTACTGTCCTCTTCTATTGTTCGGGAACATCGTATTTGTGTTTCCTATTCGAACACTTAATAAGGCTGGATTTTTGTTTGTTTTCCTTCGTGGGTTTGCCTTGGCGAAGGATGCTATGCTGACACAAATGGCAGGGGGGATCGGATCGTTGGGATTGGGCTGCATTCCATAGACAGGTGGATCGAAACAAAGCCATACCGATCTGATCCATTGTTTTTAAAACAGTTTTCGTGGAACTAGATCCGAAAATGGGTGAATTGCAGCTCTCCATTCATCCTTCACTTGTTTGAATGGACAGGCGTCAGCTGGCAACTGGGTCAATGTCCTTAAGGCGAAACCCGAAAAGAGAAGAGCCGAAGAGAGTCGTGCTCTAGGAGAGTCGCTTTGTCCGGCCTTGCCACAAGTCAGTTTGGCCTCCAGGCTTGGCGTGCTGGAGAAGACGATGCTCCCACAACTAAGGTCCGCTCAGTGTCACAGTTTGTCACTCCAGGTTGAATTTTTCATTGTTCTCTGAAGCCTTCCCAATCCAAACCTCAAGTCTCTTGAAGTGCTGTGCCTGTTTGTGAGCTTTGCTGAAAGTCATGGGCCCTCGCACGCAGGACATATTGAGAATCGTTGTGCAAGCTTTCGTAGATGAAGAACCAAACGCTTTGGTCAAGGACTTGTTGGTATATAGATAACACTGCTTTGCAATCATCACGTGCTGCGCAATTGGTTGTTTCCAGAACTCTACTGCATGCAGGAGATGATCTCGCATATCAAGAAACATGACAAGGCTGGCACCCCAAGTCCTCCCAACTGACATGAGAATCAATTGTGTTTGATAGGATTCAATGCTTTGATTGTGTTTAACCCTGTGTTTGACATCATTTGTGCAGGTTTTCTCCGGGTTTGGAATGACCATCCTGGACGTCGTTGCGCGTTCAGGAAAGACGCAGTTGATGGAAGAGCTTTGGGAGCTGCCGCCACAAGCAGGCGACCAACATATTTTGAACAATTCACAGATTCCCCAAAATATCAAAAGCCTCAAAGACTCAAAGCGCTTCGAGTTGGCAACCACGCCGCGCTCAGGAATCCAGCACAGCAGTTGCAGTTATGATGTCATTTTGGGTGGCTTTGCAAGCACTGCAGAGATAAAGAAGGTTCGGCTCTATGAGAAGATGATGAAAAAGGAGCACATGCGATTATCACCTCGGGGATTGTCTTTGATCATCAAGGGATACTTGAAGAACGGCCTGGTTGACCAGGCTGGGCTTTACTTTAACTTGCAGCTGTATTGGCAGTGTTCGCTTGCAAAGTTGAGAAATTGAGGTCTTTGAGAAGTTTATGGAGATGAAAGGCAGCAGCTATGAAATACCATCTTTTGCTGTGGCACAGTTCTTTCGAGTCGCTGGCGAGGCCCCGTTCTGAGTCGAGAGAGAAAAGCGATGTTCGACAAAAAAATCAGCCCGTGCAAAGGCTGGTCGAAGCGAGGAGTTCTTGGAAGCAGCCAGCAAGAACGACTTGGAGATTTCGGTGGAAGCATATTGTGTTATTTTAGTGGACTGTGTGCGAACGAGCAACCTCAAGTTGGCCGAGAAGGCATGAATGCACTTGTGCTCTTTTCAAGCACTCGACTAGTTTCAAGAGTTTCCCTAGTTAGTTCCCGTCCTCGTCTAGGTGGAGACTGCTGTGAGATCCACCAGAACGACCATCTCTCCTCAGCTCTATGAGATGTTGATCAAAGTCTACATGATCCTAGCCTGAAGCATGCAAGCTATATTTCTATTCTGAGGTTTCAGTATCTAGTACAAGAAAAAAGTTTAGCTCTGCTGACGTCAGCTTGCTAGGCTTGGCTCTGATGAGAGAGCCATTGTAATCTTCAAGGAGCTTCAACGTTCCTTGGTTCTGGGCCGGTGAAGTCAAAGCATTGATGGTGAAGGAAGGCTGCAGATATGGGTTTTGATCATGACAATTGGGAGAGGTATCGTGTGAGTTTATTCATATGTATACATATTGACAAAAATCCATGATGGATCATAGCAGCCACCATGCACAAGGATGACACACACACAAACCGGGGCATTTAGGCCCAATCCCTCGCGGATAAAAGGCGCGTTTTCCTTTTCATGGTAGCGGAGCGCTGGCCGTAAAGTGCCGGCGCTCCCTACCCATGGCACCTCGCACCACGACTTTGAGCCCCTCGCCACAGCTACCACGAGGAGATCCAGGGCACGCAGGATTCTGGCTGGTAGAGCTTTTGGATTTGGCCTGTATAGCTGGTGCAGCAGGCGACCATTCGAGCCAGGAGATCAGATACTACCAACCTGGGAGCGCGGTGGCACTCAAGAACAAGTGGAAGCTGAGGAGGGTACACACCGTGGTCGTGGATGCAGAGGGCTACGTGGGACGACTCCGCTGGTCGAAGAGCCAAAGGAACGTCAGAGCATCCCTGACCATCCAGGTGAAGAAAGGCCAGAAAAGAAGAAGGACGTGAAGCAGCTGGTTGTTGTAGTCCCGGCTTGCTGGAAGTTCATTGAGAAAGTGGAAAAGGTGAGAGACAAAGCATCAAAGGAAGAGGTTTGTGAGCTATTGGCCAACTGGGATCTTCTCAGCTTGCTTGGCTACGGCGGCTTCGACCTTGAGAAGGACGAGAACGAGCCCAATCAGACGACAAAGACATACTTTGGGACCATCCCACAGCTCGGAACTATGGCGGAGGAGAGCTTGAGGATGATCTCACAGGCCTTGGAGCGCCTGACAGTCAATCAAACGACCTCAACATGGTCAAGACATATCAAAACCCTGACCTCTTCAAGCCGGAGACAAGAGACAAGAGATCAGGAATTGAAGATGTGGAGTGACTGGAAGTTCTCCTCAAGCTGTGCCCCCACACCTTCGAGATCATCTACATCTATGGATCACAGACAGCGCAACCTATGAGCAAGTGAAGAACGAGGTGATGGAGTTAGAAGCTTTGTCAACGAGATGGGACTCTTCCAATAGCCTCAGCCTTCCGACAAGATCAGGCATTGATGAGGCCACGCCCATGGAGGTGAACCGAATTAGAGACAAAGGGAAGAAAGGAGGAAAAGGGAAGAGCAAAGACACAAAAAGCTGAAGGAAGAGGATCATGGAAAGGGAGTGAGAAAGGAAAGAGCCAACGGGAGAAGGGTGGCTTCGGCAAGAAGGCAAAAGTCCTGAAAGAGGAAGCAAAGGAAAGGCTGGAGCATGCCACAACTGTGGCAAAGTGGGACATTTCGCAAAAGACGTTGGTCCAAGCGGGCAAATGTCAACCAGGTGGAGGACCAGGGTGCTTCAACCCAGAGCAATCCAGGTGGAGCAAGTTCGTCGTCTGCAGGACTCACTGGACAGACGGTGACATCGGCTTCAGTCAAGATGGTTCGATTGGAGACGCGATCTTTGACCTGACAACACCCAGAGTCTCAGATGAAGAAGCACGCTATCCGTGGCGTGGGCATGATCCTAGCTGAGGAGGACAAGGAGATCTACATGGACATCCAGGATGAGTACGACGTGTTCATGGACTGCATAGAACCGGCAGTGCTAGTTCCAGATGGTACTGTCATTGTGGCCATGGACCTACAGGACAAGGAAGAGGAGACCTTCGTGCAGATTGTAAGAGATGAGGGAGTGCCCTTGACAGTGGCGCAGATGTGTCTGCTCTGCCAAAAGCCTATGTTGATGTGGGCCAATGGAGGACTGGCTCAAAGGAGTTTAAGATGATTGATGCTCAGGGCAAGAGGATAGCTGGATAGCTCATGATGGAGTGACAAAAGCCAGATTGAGGATGACAGATAGCCAACGAAAGACCATCGAGCTTGTAGAGGAGTTCGTGCTTGGCAACGTACAGCGCCCCATCCTATGCACAGGAAAGCTTTTGAGGAAAGGATGGAGCATTTGTCCCACATCAGATGGCTTGAGTCTAATGCGCGGGGAGAAGAATGTCTCAGTGCCTATCAACAATGAGCGAAATTCATTGCAGTTCACCGCCAACATCTTCGTGGATCTTCGTGGTCAACCAGGTTGAAGAGGACAAGAAGAAGGATGGTATGACTACAGCGCATGTGATGGCACTCCGTGGGACCTTCAGCAAGTACATTGAGGAGCTGGAAATGGCTCCTGATTGGCATCGACTGCCCAATGGCATTGTGGCTTACAGTGACCCCATTGCAACGTTTTAACAGAGCCTCGAGGACAGATTGAGGAGCGCTGGAAAGCAAGGATGACATTGGTGAAAGACGCTGGAGTCTGTGGAGTCAGATCGAGAACGTCGACAACTACCTGGACTTGGGCTCAGGTGTATTCAGACGTGTTGGAACAGGAGGACCTTTGAGGACACTTAGCTTCTTCGCACCATCGGGAATGGAGAACTACTGGGAGCTGGATTCTGAAGTCTCCATCAATCCGTATCCCGAAGCCCAGGACGTCGAAAAGATGATGGCGGCCAAGAAGCCAGATGAGATTGAGCTGGGTGAGGTGATCTATACGGACAAGATGTCAGTCAAGGACCTGCAATTAGCGTGCAAGGAACGGGACCTACCGTACACTGGCAGCAAAAGAAGACTCCTGGACAGACTCTTGGCATTCAAGGTGAACATTGAGAACAAGCTAAAGCTGTCCATTGCCAACAAACGGTTCAAGGAGCAACAGAGGACGCCTATGACTTTGGGCCAACCCAAACTACCGCCCATGAAGGAGCAGGAAGCACACTTCGTGACGCATGTGGTGTCAGGCATGTGTTGCAAGCAGGGCAAAGGAGGACAACCGTGAAGTTCGAGAAGAACTCGATGAGAGACCTCCAGACAAAGTGGCAGAAAGGTCAGACCAATTTGGTACATGCTTGATTATGACCTCATCAGAGACCAAGGCAATACATGCTGTTCCAGTCCTTTGAAGCAGGAGATTGGCGATGGAAGAGAGCTTCGTAGCAACCGACATGGTCATTGCAAAGGGCTTACCATGGAGCTACTCACCCCAAAAGAATCATGATGAGACATGGAGGACAAGCCCAGAGGTATAGACAACCGACCTTGGAGAGCGAGGCATCAGAAGAAGAACGGAAGGCAGTTACCGATGCAGTGGCTGCAGGAGTAGTCCCACCTGCACCAGGATCAAGGGCGCCAATGACTCCTGGCATCACAACTGCAGCACCTATGACTCCAGCGCCCATGACAAATACACTTACACCAAGGCAGAAGAGAGCGGCAGAAGGAGGTGAGCAAGAGGAGCCGGAGTTGAAGACGTTTGGTGCTGAGACATCACCAAGAAGAGGGCGTGAAAAAAGGGAGAATGAAGATGTCCCGGAGGAGGAGGATGAAAAGAAGCAGAAAATTGAAGAAGGTGAGACAAGTATGCTCTCAGGAATCGAGAAAGGGGGACAGCAGAAGGCAATGAGCATACTGTGGCATCATCACCGAGCAAGATCCCAAGACTATATCCACCACAATATGCAGGAGTACAATATATTGAAGCTCGTGGTGATGAAGAGATGGATGATGGATTGATTTCCACAGACCTCACAGATGAACTGCTCTATGCCAACGATGAGGCAGATGATCCTCCGATCACTAGCGATGAGCGCTTGCAGGAGATGGACAAAGAGGCAAAGCAACGTGAAGTGGATCGGCTGAAGAAGATTCCGGCGACGGAAGAATCCACTGAAGAGGATGTGAGGAGCAACGATGGATACATCATCTCGACGAAGTTCGTGGTATGCTGGAAGCGTCGAGTAGAGCAAGGAGGATGGTATCGACGTGCCAGACTTGTGGCAGTTCAAGGCCAGCATAGACCTCGAACAAACATTCGCTCCAAAATCTATGCTTGTGGTTCCAAAATTGCTCAACCACCTCAGAGGACCGCTGCTTCCCAATGGTTCAATCTGTTCGCCAGGGCGTGCAAAGACTTTGGACTCACCCAGGGCGTGATGCAACCCACTCTGTTCATGAAAGACGTGGAGATATACATCACGGTTCACGTGGATGATGTGTTCATGGTGGGCAAGGAGACGGCGTTGAAGAACTTTGTGAAGTACCTGCAAGAGAAAATGAAGTGGAACGTAGAAGAGAAGGGAGACCGTTCCAGATGGGTGAGAGATTCCACTACCTGAAGCGGGAGTTCAAGCTGTCGCATGACCACTGCGATATGAGATGTGATTACAAGCAGTACGAGAGCGTTGCAAAGGATGTTGATGTCTTCAAGAAGTTCTACCGGAAAACACCCCTGGAGCAGAACATGAAGAAGGACACCGCTGAAGAGCTACAGGGAACACGCGTCACGAAGTTTCGAAGTGTGGTTGGATGCCTCATGTACATGTCATTCAATTTGCAATTCAGAGCTTGACAAGACACATGGCCAAACCGCCTGGAAGACAGCTTGCCACGTCTGCTCGTACCTTCAAGGCACAGAAGGATTTGGAATCAGGCTAGGAGGTTGAAGATAAGGAGAAACACCTCCTGGAGATTGTGACAGATGCCGACTACGCAGGAAACAAAGATGACAGGAAGAGCGCTACTTATTTCATTCCAAGTGTTCTTAGAGGGAACCTCATGGAATCCCGTGTCAGAAGCCAGAAGAGCATCTCCCTATCATCAGGGGAATCAAAATTTGTCGCTATGGTTGGAGGCTGCTCTGATGGGCTACTGGTGCGGCATCTCTGGATGATGTTGGTGAAGGGGGAGGTCGACGCGAAGGTGCGCTCTGATAGATCAGCAGCCCGTGCCATGGTCCAAAGACAAGGAATTGGAAGAGTGAGACACCTTGACGCTGCACTCTTATGGATCCAGCAGGAAGAGAAAGACAAGATCTTGAGTGTGAATCCGGAGGGGCTGCGACAGAAATCCATGATGGATCATAGCAGCCACCCAGGCACAAGGATGACGCGCAGGCATTTAGGCCCAATCCCTCGCGGATAAAAGGCGCGTTTTCCTTTGCGCACACACACACACGCACACACACACATATATACATATATATAAATATTTCCCCAAACAGTGTGGGCACACTGAAGGGTTCTTACGGTAGTGCAAAAGCAGCTGGGGCTTAGATCGCTGAAGCGCGCGGGCGTGAACGGCTAATTCGCTGCTATGCGCAGTACATTCATGCCTCTCGATATCGTCAATCCGCAGGCTCGCAGAATCTGGGTGTCTGCGGCGGGTGCTTCTAACGATTGCGCTCCCGTTGTGGTGCCGTGCGCATTTTAGTACATGGTGGTGACTTTTCGTGGCAGGCGCAAGGGAAACCTCGTGTGGTGCTCCAAAGTCGACTTTTCGTGACAGGTGGAAGGGATCGGAGCTGTTTTACTTCGAAATGCAGTTTTCGTGGCAGGTGCAGCACTTTGGACATGGTGGTGATCGTCAAGGAGCTCAGAACAGGTGCAGTGAATCGTGACTTTTGGACATGTGGCTCGTTTGCAGACCTTGAAGTGCAGAGTTCGTGGCAGGTGCAGCATTTGGTGGACCTCGAAGTGCAGAGTTCGTAGCAGGCGCAGCGCTCTGTGACCCTCGATGTGCAGATTTCGTGGCAGGTGCAGCGCTTGGTGCACCTCGAGGTACAGATTTCGTGGCAGGCGCAGCGCTTGGCGAACCTCGAAGTGCAGATTTCGTGGCAGGCGCAGCGTTCTGTGACCCTCGATGTGCAGATTTCGTGGCAGGTGCGGCGCTTGGTGAACCTCGAAGTGCAGATTTTGTGGCAGGGGCAGCGCTTGGTGAACCTCAAGGTGCAGATTTCGTGGCAGGTGCAGCGCATGGTGCACCTCGAAGTGCAGATTTCGTTTCAGGCACAGATTTCGTGGCAGGTGCAGTACTTTGTGCTCTCAGATGCTCACTCTCCCACTCTCACTCTCCCACTTTCACTCACACTCACACTCCCTCACACTCCCACCCACACTCACTCTCACTCACACTGGCACTCACTCGCACTCACACTCACTCTCCCACTCTCACTCACACTCACGCTCCCTCTCACCCACACTCACTCACACCCACCTTCACTTCATCACCACCATCACCTCTCTGGACCCCAATGCGTCTAGATCATCTCTAGACTTTCTGCTTACAGACCTCACACACACTGTTTGGGGTCTCTTGCCGGGATTATTTTTTTAAACCATGGATCATGATCAAACTCTACAATATTGCATGTGTAACAGTGTCACTGACGGCATACAATGAGGTTCCGTAGATGTTTAGACTGGTGCAGAATCAGAGCAATCGAGCAAACAATTTTTCAGTGAAGGCTCGGATGGCGTCAGCGAGACCTTCTGTGTAAAATTGCTGGCGCGCTGCGCAGAGTGCAAGTTTCTGAGCTTTGCAGAGGAGATCATCAAGCATTGCCGAACTATCAAGGTGGGGCATGAACCAGAAAGGCAAGGTGTTGTAGAGCTTGGGTATTTGCTGTCAAGTACCTTTCATGGGTAGTGAGGCAAGCCTTGAGTGTGTGCCATGGTTTTATTGCCAACACATAAGAAATGTAAAAAAAATAAAAACTATATATATATATATACACATAGACGTATAGATGGTACTTAGACCCCTCCGGTACCAACTTTTGAGTGTTTTTTTTGCATTTGCATTTATCTTCTTAAACATTTTTGAGGCTGGATTTTGTTTGTCTTGGGGCTGTACCTGCCCGGAACCAAGAACCAAAATTGCGCAGAACTCTTTCAGAAATTCTTTGTTTTTGACAAGGTACTATATATATATATATATAAGTGGTATTAATACGAACCCGGAACCAAGAAGTTTCCCGTCAAGAGTTCTGTGCAATCTTGGTTCTTGGTTCCAGGTAGGTACTAAAGCTATTACCCTTTCTGGCGCCTCACAGCCCTGTCTCTTTTCGCAGCAAACTCTTCCCAGCACTCTTTTGTTACTGCACTGTGTGTTTGTATGGCTGCAACTTTTTCCATTTGCACATATCTAAATTCTTAAAGGTTAGGAATCAGGAAGAATGATATAGAGGACACATGAGTCAAAAACCAATAGAGTTGGACAGGATGCAAGAGGACTGTTTGGCTCCTACTCTTTGGCAAACATAGCCGTCCTTGGTTCTGGCAGCATTACTAGTTTTCTTGTCTAGCTCCTTCTTCTTCCGTTTGGTTGTTTGGTCAGTTTGTATTATTGTTAGTTTGCTCCTTGTTTTTGACACCATCCTGCAACTAAAGAGTGGTAGTAAATAAAGTGCATCAGTGGAGGCGTGTCTGAAACACATGTGGAAGAAGAAACGACGAATCGTGAAAGTAGTACTTGGTAATTCCAATCTCTTCCGGGGATGAGACATGAGATTGGTAAATAAAACCGACCATACAAACGCTTTATGCACATGAATCGAGCCTTGGACTTGGAATTCTATTGTTTTTGTCAATAAGTGAAGTAAGTGAAGAGCTCTTATTCACCGAACCATGTCTTCAGGGGACTCTTTACACGCGCAACACGTCTAAATCAATTCTTTTATTGTATACAGATTTTGATTCGTCCCATAAAAGTTTCTAGCAGTTGTGGAGGTGTTGTCCATGGAAGGTTCAATTTTGCAGGGGAAGACGTCTTCAAAAGGCAATAAAGGAGACTATCGTGCAGGAAGGTTTACAAGGGATGGGATGCTTGAAGAAAAGGACTGTTCTTTGCGGGGAAGAGACATTTGTAAGGGTTTTATTGTGTGGATAAAGCATGAAGATAAACGAAGGCTCTGGATATTGTTGGTTTTGTGAAGGTGGAGTTGTTCGCTCATTTATTCTTAAGAAGCACAATGAAACCATGTAAAGTCCAAGTTGTTCTCTGACACACTATAAAAATAAGGGAAGTTCGACCATGGTAATCACATCCAAGGAAGGTACTAGGGGGGTAGTATATACACAAGAAAATTGGCAGAAGAATCACAGTCCCAATCTAGACTTTGTTGGAATTCTTCACCGTGTGAGTTTGCAGACGTGGCAGCTTCCTGTACTTTGTACCGGCATTTAAGAATTCAAGAAGAGAAGTCGGAAGGGCTTTGTCAAGATTGATCAGCCATCAAGGTCAGAGCCCTATTTTGCAGGTCATGACTTTGTCAGTCTACAGTGCCTTGATGAAAGTGTATGCATATTCTGGGTTGTACGAGAAAGCATGCGATCTCTATGAAGAGATCAAACGGGAAGGTGTTGAGCCTGATGCGATGATGCAACTCGCTCGAGGAAACCACATATTTTTCTTTTTCACAACACTTTTAAACTTTGGCAAGCTTAAAAGGCAAGACAGGCAGGCTTTCGGAAAGCATGAAAGAGCCTTGGATAACCAAGGTACGGGTGTCTTATGAAGTTTGCAGTCGAGTGTGGGCGCAAGTCTCTCCTACAAGAGTTGTCGGAAAAAGTGCCAAGCCTTGACATTCAGCATTACATGTCGATGATACGTTCTGCTGGCTGTGACGGTGATGTTGCCCGAGCATTTGCCGTGTTTGAACGATTGAAGAAAAGTCCTGTGTCGGCTGACGTTGCTGCCTTCAACTGTGTTCTGGATGTTTGTGTCCGTGCTGGTGATATGAAGAGTGCAAAAGAATTGATGGAAGACATGCGTCCGCAGAATATGGTAGATATCATCACTTACAACACCATGATCAAGGGCCTTTGCAATCAAAGGGATGTGAAAGGCGCCCGGTTGATGATGCAAGAGATGGAAGAGAGAGGAATTGCCGCCAATGATGTGTCTTACAATTGCTTGATCAATGCTGCTGTGAGCTCTGGCAATATGTCAGAAGCTTGGGACCTGGTAAAGACCATGGAGTCCAAGGGCGTACGCCCTGATCGCTACACCATATCCACAATCATGAAAACTCTCAAAAGGACCACGCCACCAGGCCATGCAGCAAAATGCTTTGATCTACTGGATCGCTCTGGAGTCGTCTTGCTCTCAGAATGTATAATTGGAGTCGTGTTTCTTCTCACCTTGCTTGGGTTTGCTCTGAAACGTTTGGGGAACACTTCTGAGGATCTTTGTCAGGATGAAATCCTTCTGAATATTGTGCTGGAGACCGGCATTCGGCACAAAGAGCTGAAGCGGATGAATGGGATCTTGGAAGCCTTTGAGCAATCCAAAATCCGTCCATCGACACCAACATACGGATCTCTGATCAAAGCATATGGGATCATGAAGAGACCGGACAGATGTTGGGAAATTTGGAAGGAGATGACAGATCAACGAGGTTTGACACCGACACACATTGTGATTGGTTGCATGCTGGATGCCTTAGTATGCAATGGCTTGGTAGATGATGCAGAACGTATTTTTTACGAATACTCCACGGCACCAAACGTGATCTTGCACCTCGGAGTCCATGGATGGTTGTTTTGAATAGTCTTGCGTTCTCCAAGGCCAAGGATAGCACAGCGCACCATTTCTGCCTTAGTAAGCGATCGTGCATGTTGAAATCGTGCCCACAGGTACTCTATCCTTTTCAAGGGCTTTGCAGCAACTCATCAGCCAAAGCGATGCTTGGCCCAACTCGTCGCGAGTCCCACTTTGCCCCAAAGTTCTTCCATTTTTGGCCGAGAGGGCCGCATGCACTTTGCTTTGGGCGACAGGAGCTATGGATTTGTGGAGAAGCATGCGGAAGAAGGGCTTGACGATGAACACAGTCGGCTACAATTCTGTCATTGATTCACAGGTCGGTGATGAACTGCAATCCTTTGTAGCCGCATGTGCTTAAGTGGTCTTTCTCCTTTCGACTTCTCGGGCTCTTGGAGGCTCGGCTGGGAAATGTGGAGGACTGGTAATGCGGACTTCTCGTGTATCCTGTTTTCTTGCGTTCAGACACTGTGAGATCGTATGATTACACGCATAGAAAGGAGGTGACTGAGATCATGAGTGCAATGTCTGAAGAAGGCATCAAGCCGGACAGGATTACTCATTCGATCATCGTGCCTAGCTTATTCAAGACAATGAATGCAGCGTAGCAGTGCATAGAAACGATATGACACGATTAAAGATGGCAACATGCACTTAAGCACTTTACATTGCAGTGCAAGCAACTTAGGTGAAAGCATACTGCATCAGAGGTGACTTCAAGCGAGCTATTGCTACTATCCACAGTATGCAGGTGCGGATGCTCTCCGTAAACCACTTGCCATTGTCAGAATGCCCCTCATAGGGTGTGGCTGCATAGTTTCGTTCAGACCAGAAAAAAGTGAATGTTTGTTCTATTTTGCGCACTGTCAGAGCTACGGACCACACACTGGCTGTGTTATTTTGTAACGGTAGCTGTGGACCCTCCGCTCATGATCCTTGTGCTTGAATTTGCTTGCTGGCAAATGATGTTTTTGTGGCCCTTAAGTTATTCAACGGCAAGTGTACTCACACCCCCCACCCCGCAAGATGGCCAATTGAATGGTCGTAAGTGAGCGCGCTGTTCAAAGAGTCATAGAACAAAGTAGGCAATGGTCGAAGAACCTGCTATCCGGTCCTTCCTGCTACAGTGCTGCCTCTGTTATTCTGCAATGCAAAGAGGGCGGTTGACTTCCTTGCTTTCGTGGCCAGAACTTGAAGTGGACGCAACCATGCAGCAAAAATGCACTGCAGGCGAACCTTTTCAACTGGAGGTTTGGGCCACAAGGGCCTCCATTCGGTTGGACATGGGATCACTACAAAAGGATTCATGACGGCGGTCAAGATTCATTCGACTCACCCACTGTCAATGTTTTCTCAGCCTCTTGCGCGCTCACTTCTCATCAGAAACAAGCAGAGGCAGGGTCCGCTAGCGAGTCTCTCAAGGCTTTGATATCGAGCGCTGTCCGACAATCCAGGGCAAGTTCACTGGAAAGGCAGTCAAGCACATGCAGTGCCTCACTTTGCGCACAACAGAAAGGCCCAATCGGCTTCAATCTCTGGCTTGCAGCAAGGAGGGCATCACCAACGTGCAAATAGGCCCCATGGGCCCCACGAGTATTAAGTTCACCAAAACTTCATGACCAAACAGGGGATCAGTTTGGATTATCGTAATTCTATTTCCACTTGGGTTTCCCGAAAATGCAAATACACCAGTGAAATCTAACATCAAAGAAACATATAAACGTCCTTGTGCCGTGCTAGTGTGGCTGCATTTGGCTAGTTTTAGTATTGAAAAGATGTGGAATCAAGCCGGGGAAATCCTGGGCAAGGTTGGACGCTGTTGAGTCTAACGTGGACCATTGCAAGAGCAAAACATAGCCCTATGTTGGCCATCAGGCAGAATCCATGTTAGCATCTGCTGCTTCGGTGCAAGAACTATCCATCCTTAGTTGGGAATTCAGCGGAAAAGGGCGGACACCAGCAGTGACAGACCTGGGAGACAAATGAATAGAAATGCTACATGGCCAGCGGAAAAGGGCGGGCACCAGCAGTAACAGACCTGGGAGACAAATGAATAGAAATGCTACATGGACAGCGGAAAAGG